AAATGCACGTAGTCGTAACCCTAATAAACAAAGAGGCAGACCGAAAAATAAACAGCTTCTTATTAAACACTTTTGCGGGATATAAAGGTTAAACACAAGGCATTCTAACCATCCATGCCAAACGAATATTATGATGTTAACTATATAATATGTATGCCTCAAGTCCTGTAGGAGCGGTCACTTTTTTAATTTTTTAAATAAGCTCATATTTTGCTCCTTTCCTAAATTTGACGCCCATATATAAACGCGTGCAAAAAATGAAGGAAAAACAAAAATGGGTGGAAAACGGGAGTGGTTTTTACTCCGCCATAATCCGTAAGTTCAAATTTTGTTAATCCCCTATGCCAATACCCAACCATAAACGCCGAAAAGGATAACTGATATAGTAATAAATTACAGCTCCACATTCTAGGAGCGAACAAAAAAAGGACACAGATTTTCAAGTTTAAAAATTAAATAACTCAACAATGGCCGCCCGAGTTCACTCAAGACACGCAGTTCACACTGAACGCTTAACTCGCAATAAATATTTTGAACATTCGCGTATTTTTCATCAGAGGCGGAAACCTAGAAATCGTTCGGGAACACAGTACGAAAATTTTGTTCGGCGCGATCGCGAGTTTACATCCATCAAAATCTTGTTCGCGACCGTTTCCAAACAGTGTTCTGCAGAAACGATGCTCGGTCGGTGTGGAAGCCTTAAAACTATACGATGTGCAAACTCTGGTATTTCACAGCTCCATCGGAAAGAGGCAATGAAAGTGGACAAAAAATATAGGTACCTCAGTACTCACTGCAGTGAGTGACAGAGGGCGCATTTTCTCGTCGACGAAAACTTGCATGTGGTCACGGACAGACGGACGGACAGACAGACAGACAGACAGACGGACGGACATGGCTAGCACAATAGTGCATTTTTTCCATAAATGAGAAACTGCGCTAAAAACAATCATTTTTCAAGACTCCTGCCCTTAAATAACGCAGTCAGGTGGATCAATTTTGCGCCACAAAGAAAATCAACACAGAATAGTAACCATGGAAGCCATGCGTCATGAGCTTCAATATTTCATGTGTTACCAATAGCTACTCATCATGACAAAGGACACGTGAGTCTAGTGCGTGAAGGGTTGCTCCTTATAGAAACTAAGAACTAATAATGTCAATATTCATCCAGAAAGCGAGAATCAGATAACCGATTTATTTACAATCCCATGACTGATAAGAGTTTATCAAAAGCAAAAATTTATCAATCTATTTAATAAACAAAACTGAAGCACATACGTTCATAGTGATATCAAAACAGCTTTGCAGTTATTGTGTGGCATCAAACACTATAAATGGTATAATTCAGACCAGTATAATACGGTTTTGATTTACGAACGGTGAGTTAAGAGCAGTATCTCATGTACGTTTAATGCATAAAATTAGCATGAAAGCCATAGAAATAATTGTTAAACAACAAAGAAAAACGTCGTAGTTACTTAAACATTATTCGAATCGTAATTACCATAACCTATCATGTGTGTTTATTTATACATATATCCCATTACAGGAAAGCTCGAAAATGGTTCAAACAAGACACGGAACTCTTTTAATTTAAAACAAATAGCATGCAGAGTGTGAGTTAGTAATGCATACGTCGGGCAATTAACGGAAGCAAGAGATAAATAATTGAGCATATTATCTTGAATTTTGTGTCAATGTGTGTGCTGATTTTACTAAAAATCAAAACGTCATCATATCATGATAATACAAAGGCCGATTCGGGCAACTGACACTTCAGTATAACAAATTCTGAGACAATCCCTCACTTCAAGCTCACTCGTAATGAGTTGTGAACATCAATTAATTTTATTTTAATTGTTATTCAAACTGCATGTCTTTCAGCAACGTGAATTGCTTAGCCAAAAAAATTCCTGAAAATAAAATACTTAAATAGATAAATACATTCAAGAAATGTGCCATGAATGTCCAGAATCCAAAAAGTTGTTGAAGTAACATGTAAACATTGAATATGTTCGATATGTAAATGCACGAAATTAGTTGTTCATAGAACTGTACTAAATTTGTGCCAGTAGTATAAACTAACTTGATTTGTTAATCGGTCTACTTCGCGCATTATATATAAATTGGTGTGCGATAATGAATTGGACTAATGGACTGTACTGGGTACGTTCGTGATTGCTGCAATAATTATTCAAGTGACACTTCTAGCAATGCAGCTGTATCAATGCAGACCAGACACATTTGTCAACATTTTTTTACCCTTAGATAAGCAATCGTATCGAAAACAATCTCAATACCTAACCACCCTCAACATCGCTATAGTCCATATCTCCAATATATCTACCGGTACTCAATATTCATCAATCAACAGTGAAAGGACAGTGGGAATTTGTAGTTATCTATGGAGAGTATGCACAAGTTGATATGAATATTGTCTAGACAAACGGTGTTTCATCAAATGGGTATCAAAAAAATCTTTTCAAGGTTTGGCATGCCAGTGCTGAATCATCGATTACGTAACAGCAAAATTCTGAACGGCTTCATTAATATGAAAATAACTACTAAACGGCACTGTTAGATGTTGCGAATTTGAATTATTCACACAATTGCTCCCGTACAACTGCAGGGTCGCTTTAACGGATTGCAAGTCTCATCAAGCCAACAAGGTCACCACGACAATAAAAGTATAAATAATTCGATCTTATCTACGGATACCATAACTTACTGCTTGAAGGCATCAAACTAACACACATAATCTTGGCAGAAAATATATCTATACCAAAAGGTGATACATGCATATTTACAGAGAATTAGCGTTGGCTCGACAGTGCTATAGCTGCGTCAAGCTTTGATAGGCCAAGCAGGCAGAGAAAGCGTCATTTTGAGAGTCAAGCTTCGAAAGCTAATGCAACATTTGTCCACCATGCAGTGGCCGTACAATCAAAACTCGCTTAAGCACATATGTAGCGACCTAAGTACACCAAAAGGTCGATTTCTCGCCTGTGATTGATGGGTTTAGCGAAACGAATTTTAGTCGTTTTTCAACGTGATATGACGGTGGGATACTACAGCGATCATGCCCTCTAAATAGAACAGCATCAACATAATTTATTAGAACTTAAAAGAGCTGAAAGTCTAGCAGCTGAAGGTCATGCATCACATGCAGCCCTTACCTCAGAAGATCGGGATTTTAAATCCGACAATAACTTCAAGTTATACATACTACAAACAAATCTCACGTACTCATGCCCAGCTTAGATTACGTAACACTTCACGTGATCTACGTACATGTGATGATGAAGGTATATCAAAAACATAACATCGTGCCGTCGGAAACATATTCTTCAGATTCATACGCGGTCATATACTATCATCCAGACAAGGGCATATTAGAAGGGTTGATTATCAATCTTAACGTGACCTGATAAACTATCAGTAATTCCCAGATTTGTCAATTAAATGAAGTACGTACATCCAAATTTACCAGACAAAAATGTGGGAAACAAAGCTAGCTACATGGAGTGCCCACTCATAGCTTCTGAAGTGCATGACTAACAAAACACCGGCATAAACACTCATCTCCAGACACAAAACACACGGTGTCTCCCTAGCTCTAGTCATTCAAAAAAGTTGGGTTTTACATGGTTTACTTGTACACAGAATGCCATTCCTGTTGCCCAAGATAACATATGAACGAACATAGCTAGGACGTAGTGATCAAGGCCACCTCACTGTATATACCGTCCCAAGGTTGGGCTCCTAACCGTATACGCAAGAGTACAGTTAGAGCAGCGCTGGCCATGTGGTAACGCAACGCGTGCTTTCGAGAAACTAATAAAAATTAATAAAAATAATAGAATAAGTATAATTTTCACGAGACTGCCTACATCTCACTGAATATTCCAGACAATATGTGAAAACCATGTCTGTTCACAGAAAAAAGTGTTCGGGAACGTTTCTGCAACACTTTTTTGGCGTTTGAATCAACGCCTAATCATCTCGCGCTCATAAAATTACGAAAAATACAAACTACGCAAGTCAGTACATGATTCATCGACTCATTTCATAATTAGTAACAGCTTAATGATGAATAGAGTTTCGAGATTCCTTTACGATCATGTTACACTAGCGAGAGCAGCATCGTATGACATGCAGCTTCAACTCCGCGTTGAGAACTCTACGCCAAGACTCGAAGTCAATGTTTGAGGGGAGGAGACTAGATCGCAGCAGTCTTGGCATCTGAAGTAAAAGAAAGCGACACGCCTCGATACACGGACGCTGTCACGCGAGAGAAAGTCGGGAAGCTCACCTAGCCAAGTGGTGTGTAAGGACTAGGGCGAAACTCTTAGCGATGCTTTATAATTGAATTAGAATATTGGCAAAATATCATAGAAAAAATGAGATCAAATGCCTCCTTCAATTTAACTTTCATTTCAATGAACCAGAAAATAAGGTTGGCGATTCCTGTGAACTGATTTGTTGGTTGCAGTGGGCACTGTGAACAGAGTAAACCTAATTCATGATGACTGAGTTAGTGAGGACCGGCTGGGCAAGTTAAGCTTGCAGCAAATTCAATCTACGACATTAGATCCTGGTATGAACACGTAATAACATGACATAAAAAGGGCATGAAGATGTATAAATAATATTTAAAAATTGCACACATTGCACGATATCTTTCAAACATTTTCCGGGTAGTCAAGTCCAGCAATAGTAATTTATTGAAGTTGATAAGATTGATGTCATCAGTCACCATGAGCCAGATATCGGTAGAGAAGTAATTGTTGCGACAGTGAATTAAATGGCATCCTACTATCAGAAAAAAAATGAACGACAGTTTATGAACGTTAGGATGGTATAAAAAATTAAAAGCAATACAATAAAAGTAAAAAAAAGTTAGAGAAATGCATTTTCCTCCCACTAAACTAGCTTCATTCAACTGGGAGCAACAACGTTCCCCAGGCCCAAGAAAATAACACGATATATCCACTAACCTCGATACTGCTGTCGCAGTTAACAAGCTTGTGGGAGGTGGTGGTGAACCTGCCGATGACAACGCTAGTGTTGGCATCCCTTGCTTGCAGGAAGAATCCTTTGAAATTCGCGGTGGGTGAGACTCCTGCCAGTGTTACGGACACAGGACTGCCGTTCGTACTGGCGCCGCCAGGGGTGATCTGGAAGGGGGACTGGGTAGACTGAGGAGCCTGGCCGCCGTGGCTCGGAACCATGGAATTGCAAGCGCTTGCAGGAGCGCCAGTCGAATACCCACGGGCTTCTTCAACCAGCAGGAGCACAGCCAGCAACAAGGCTGTAGAACAAATCAATATGCAATCAGCAAAGCTCAATATTATACCAAGGTAAGTGCCACGCATTCGGCATTTTCTTTGCTACATGTTTGAAAGTTCAATCCTGCAATCAGTAACAATTACGTGAAATAAGCATTAAACTATCAATTAGAAGCGAACAAAGCACGATATAATAAAAAATAGTAAATTCGATACTGCATAAATAGTACGCAGCTGACTGTGGAAGGCATCCGAGCATAATTGCAGCAAATTAAATGAATCATAAATAATCAGGATCTCAGTGTACGAAATGCAAATGAACTCTGTCTCAGTGTACAAGAAACAATCAGGCATCAGATGCATTCGGGTTTTTCACGGAGATACAAGTATAAATTGATAATAATATATATAATGTATCCAAGTAATAAATTCTGGCGATGTGCAGTTCATATTTACTTCAGTAGGTATGCTTTAGCCTTGTGGCTTGAAACATTAACGATTCTAATGGGTTAGAGATCGATACGTCGAATATCATGGATTGGCAATTTGCTAACGCAATATTGATGACTTCGCTACGTGGTGGCCTGAATTGAGCATCACATAATTGTGACTAGAAGCACCAAAGATAGTAATTTATCGGGAACTTAATAGTGACAGGCAAACCATTCTACATCATTTTTAAAATTCAGAATGCATAGCATTCTACAAAAATAATTTAGAGTCGTTGTCTCAGGATATAAACTTGCATCCTTTTCAGCCTGTATTCAGACCCACGCTAATGAGATAATTTATAAAATAAATAACGCAGGCTAAGACATTAAAAAGTTTTCAAATTGTGCGCAATGGATGAACAATAGGAAGGAAACAACACGCTGTTTCCGGAGTACTTTTGCTATACTCACGAAGACAACATGAACAAGTGAAAGCAGCAATTCGCAGCTCATTCTTATCAATGTTGCTAGCTAACTTCCCCGGTAAATTTCAATGATAACGGTTCCAAGAAAACATAGAAAAAAGCCGCATATTGTAAATAATTATAATTATAATGCTTATAAATTAGTATATTGGCAATTAATTTTTGTTAAGTTGCACTAATTCTCGCATTAAAAACGATATAGAAAAAGTTAAACTAAAAACATTAATGAAAAAAACTAAAAAGTATGAAAAACGTTTCGGTTAATTTTATCTTACATAACAAGATAATTTCCGCACGAATAACGTCTAAATTTGAACCAGTTAAGTTCTAACTACTGTTTACCATGGACCGCATTATAGATAGTTTGTAGCAAATCTGAAACGCGCAAGGTTTTCCCGGAGACAATTAGGACGGAAAGCCTGTACGTTGAAGCGGATACTTGACTAGCAGTCGTCGTAGCAGTGGCATTCCCAGCCGAAGATGTGTGCGTACTGAGGAAGTTTGTACAACGATGACGACAGCCTCGACACTTACTTCTATACTATACCGACACGCGACGCTATATGAGCCATCGTCGGTTATGCATACGACATCGCTGCGTCATCAGCCACTTTTTCCGCACGGTCTCATTTTATGTAAGAATTTTCAGTAATGGCAAATGTGATTTCAAATAAATTTCTACGTTATCCATTACAATATTTCAAAACTGTTTGGACTCAAATTCCTGTTAGCTTCATTACCGTTTTCCAAGCTATCATATCCGATTAAACTCCGTAATTTTTAATAACTATTCGTATTGATGACGCAATACTATAAGTGATTAGCAACAAGTTAAGCATGCCATGTTCCCGGTTCCATGCAACACTTTTACGTCAACTTTCAATGTTATCATTATGATTAAAGACACTCGGCACTTCTAAGGCTTGTTGAAATTCCACAGCTGTCTTGTTATCGAAACATCGTTCATGTTTAAACACAGACACGCACTCTACGTTAGCATCTTAAGGCAGCGAGGCAAGGAACGACAGCAAGTTATTATAACATCGATGAGAGCATTCCTTTGCATTATGAATATTTATACAAATTTGTGCTAACACGAGCCTAGTTAGTCTGATTGATCATAAAAGCCGCTAAAACTAGAGCCTTTGTCTATTGACAGTAACGTATGTTCCCTAGCCTCGTTAATTCGTATATGTACTGATGGCGTCATCACATCCGTTCAAGCGTTCAAGTGACTGCAGATTCGTTGAACAATATACGTGAAATTCGTCATCCTGAGAAAATCAGTTCGAGTGGGAAAAATTACCTGAACAGGGCATGTATTGAATTAAGATGGGATAGTACTTGATGTTGATGCGAGATTACGTCTCTCCTGAGTTACAAAATTTTTTTGGGTAGGGGTTAAGTTAACATAGGTACGGTATAAGTCTAGAAATTATATACCCGCAAAAATATTAATACAATATGTTTTCCATGACTCAATTTTGCTTATACAACCCATCATTAAAATTTAATTTAAAGTCCCTCGAGGTCACACTTGAACGTTGACCATTTTTCTAACAATATCACAGTTGCAAGTGCCCCGCAATACGGTAACATTTTGACCTTAAAAAAACTGCTAAAACGCAGAAACAAAACATGAGCGTTATTTATAAGTAACTAATTCGTCTGTTTCTTAGGTAGGGTAGACTAAAGTAGGGCGGAATAACAAATTGTTCACTAATTTACTCAATAAATGCAAATGTTTCAAAAATTCAAGAAAATCAGGACTCGTATCGGCCGGTAAGTACTGACGAGAAGTCGGAATGGGCGAGTTTTCTAGATTTCAAGCTATTTTCAATTAATATTATTGGTAAGCATGCTGCAGGCACATTGTTGTAGATAAAAAATAAAATTATAGTTTCGCACAAAACTGGAAATCGCATGAAAGAGAAATTAATGATTCCTCGAATAATAATTAAACCCCTGATTTTACGTCTTCTTCCATGTATCCCGCCCAGGAAAGCCGTGCCTAAAACCTTTCCTGGCATGAGTGACACGTGTGTGATAATATAACAAGAATTACAAGATTGCGGCAGCAGAGCCAAACAGGCTGAAAACACCCACAAAATTTGTAAAAATCAAATGATGCTCCAAGATAACTCAAATTATTGAAGCGTTGGCATTCAATAATTAGGTTGAGAACTTGAGGTTGATGATTCAACTAATCGCATCACATAATTTTTAAAAGAAACTGTCTAGCAAGTAGCGACAATTAATCAAGTAACGGACGATTTTTCTAAATATGAAGCAACTTAGCGCTAAAACTTAGACTAATGTAATGATTACGATTCAATAGCCATTAGCCACAGTACACCGCAAAAAATATATGTATGCAGGGTAATATTTTTATGCACGCGCAAATATCAGGACATGGAAGCTGGAACTGCTTACTTAATTTAAGGCGTAAATAATACACATTCACACATATAAAAAATGTTTCATTCAAGAACACCGCTACATTGATTACATTGTCATTTTTCGGCACTTCGGCAGTCAACTACCGAAATAGCCTATTGCAAACATGGAAGCAAGCTTGATTGACGCCACTATTATTTTTTCTAATAATTTATTCGACTTTCGACTATATTATACATATTATTTATATTATGCGAGTGCGACTATATATTTCGACTATCAATTTCAAAACTCAGCAACCAGTTTTCACTCAAGTCACTCACTAATAACACTATTCATTTCAACTTCAAAGTCTCCTACCGGTTTCCAGTCCAGTCAATATTGGAACATTCTGCTTAGTGCTTAGATTTCCTGTCACGTGTCAATTAAGTAGTATAATACAATATTAATACTACTTAATTGACAAGAAATCTGAACAAGTTATTCTCTTGCAGGTTTTCATTCAGTATTCTGGCACACGTTCCAAGTAAATGTTTGAATATTCATCAACTGGTTACTGGTTACGTACTTAGTCGACGAATTAGCAAGTATTCAGCCAGACAGCCACATTCGACATTGTACACGTTTCCAGTCAATGTTTTCCAGTTGTCTTTTTCCATGGAGGACCTATCCTGCTCTAGGCCTCCAGCTACGGTACAAGTTTCGAGTCAAATATAGTATGAGCATTCGGATTTCGGCCACACGTTTCCAGTCAGTAGTCAACGTTTGACGTTATCTCTTTGGTTAAAATCCAAACGTTAGGCTCATGTATGAAATCAGACAAGAAAATACTCGAAAAATAAGTCGAGATGATACGCGACTTAGGAGTTGCGATCAAGTCTCCTACGTCTCTTGAGCAACCATTTCCGAACGCTTCTACTAGATTTCAGAGAATTTTCTCAATCTCACCTGTAGATCGTAGCCTACGAAGCATGGCTCCAGGAGCACCTGCACCCTTAAAAGTTTATATTATACAGCAAAGAAGTCTCTGGTTAGTAACTCGTCAAATTATAGAAAATTTCACAAAGCGAAAGTAAATGTCAGTCGAGAACGCGTGACGGCACCAACTCTACAGCCACACCATCCACACCGCAGCACGGCTCAAGTAACACTGGAAGTTTTCTGTGAGGCTGAGTGACGAGTGTCTGTGTCAGCAGTGAGACTGCGTCTTCAGTGCGTACAGCGTATACAATACATGCAGCAACCAAAGCAAGGCTGACTTCTTGTGACGTAACAAACTACTAGACTCCTGCGTCTCGGAATAATTTTCTCGAAATGAACCGGGAAAACCGGGACGAGACGAGAAATTACCGGAAAAAATAACGGGACGTAGGACAAAATTTGTCTCGAATAAGCGTATGTACCGGGACAAGAAGACTTGTGTCCTGGACATTAAATCTTGTGTGGTAATTATGAAAGGATGCGAAACAGATAGATTCACAACTATACGTGACATAACGGGACGAGATGTGTGTTAAATATTCAAGGATAACATAGATATTCCTTACTAGACGAAAATAAAACGAAACATTCCGTACGCGTGGTTAAAGAATGCTAAGTTAGCAATAATTCTTAACACGCAGTTAGCATTCATGGGCAGATCAAGCGATATTGGGCAGATATATTAGTGGTCAGATTTAGTATAGTATCTTCGGCATTAAAGAATAGGCCTGGATAGGCCTGTCGCCGATTCTTATACTTTTCTTGACTAGACTGGCCTTTTGATCATATCTTTTCAACGGACGGTAGATTTAAAATCGCTTCTAGATATCAGTTGTTCCGTAGGGTACGAGGCATTGTAAGACTAAACATATGCTCATGCATGGCCTTGTCTAGTCTGTTCTTGAACGCGTTCATACTCGGAGCACCATCAATATCTTCAGGGAGGCTGTTCAACATGTCGGTGACTCGAAGCGAGAAGAAATGTTGTCGCGTGGATAAGTTGCACCGCAGTCTTTTTAGTTTATAGCTGTGGCCCCTGGTGTTGGTTCTTGTTTCAAATTCTAGTAATCCTTCTGGGACCTTAGATTTGGCGATGTATGACTGAATATATTTAGCGAATGATGTTACTGTTGAGCTTAAAATCACACATAACGAGAACCATACGAGTTCAGTACGCTTAATGGCATCATCAACAGGCTGTGACAGTGTCGATCGGTTAATCGCTTAGCAGAATGTGGATGGGCTTTCTCAGGCCATGCAAGATTCCACGAGACCAGAAGTGGTAACTAGTCTCGTATCGAGTGGAAAAAAACACCAAACGTAGACGTCTACAACCAAACTGTGAGCGTAATGTAATGTCCTGCTCATACGCAGAAAAGATATTATTTAGAGAAACCAGATGTGCACTCATTGTTCACTCAAGCGATGAGTGCACAAAGTGCGCAGCCACACGCCTGCTCCTGCACCTTTATGTTCAGGTCCAGGCGTTCAAAATTGAAATGCTTTGCACCCTACGGGCCTGCTAAAAGTCCAGTAGCTATTTCAAACAAAATTCAGTTTTGAAAAGATCTGGTAAAAATGCCCGTTTTTAGATTTCCTGTGAACAAGTCACGAGAAGTACAAGAATCGGCGTCATGCCAAACCGGCCTATTCTTCAGCTCCGACACTGCTATGTTATGTTTATATAGATGCACTAATCTAATTTATATATTCTATTACTTTTTCGAACATGCATGTTATAAGTCTAAACCATTCTCATGAATTATTATCGGTTTTGGAATAGAACATCCACATTCTACCAGGAACTCTGTGCCTATAAATTTAAAACGCCAATAAAAAAATTTCACACTGTACAAATTGTTTTGAAAATTACATTGAAACAGGAAAAAGGCTTCTTCTTCAAATAATCCGCAGTGCGCCTGCGGATCGAAAATCATGTTAAAACTTACTCTTGGAGATCCCAAAGTATTTACCGATGAATGAATATAGAAGAATTATCGGCAGTATTCCACGTGACAGAGTTTAAAAGCAAACAACAATAAATAAATTGTGTTTACGTGCATTTTTAATTGACGAAAAACCATTTTTCGTGTGAACTAGACATTTTTTCACGGTTTATAAATGATCATTTTCATACAAATTAATTTTTTTTAGAAAAATCTGTATTATTCATTTGAATAAAAATCTAAATTAAACGACGAGAAGAATGAATCGAGATTGTATGTACACGGAGTGAGAGAGTACAAGTACTTTAATTATCCGTCCAATGCAAGTTTCAGGTAAGTTTATATGAGGCGCATTTTTAAAGGTTTTGAAAACAAAAACAGATGACTTAGATTTATTAGTAAACTCTTGGATCAAAAGGTAATTAGCAAGACAAAATTTTACAGCTTATAATCACCAAACGGAGACGACACCCCATTTTACACCAACAAATTTACCGGCCCGTGCTTTGCGTGAGCGACGAGTCACTGAATTAGAATTGCCCAACATTGACGTTACCAAACATGTCCTAGGTGCATGTCGTTAACCATTAAATCCTCAGGCGCATTTAAAATTTAAAACCTAACAAGCACGCCACCAAATGCACGTCACGCCCATTAAAACCGAATCTAATTTATATGAATTATAGGCGACAGTGTGACTGAATAATGATTAGGTGACGCACGAGAAGCTTCCAGTATACGTATAGAGTTGCGGCATAGCTGATGCCGCCTGTTTAGATCATATTTACTATTTGCAAATCATATATAATTTCAGATCATATGTTATACTAATACTTCATCTATGTATTCGAGTATCCAAGCTTTCACTTCATTTTCAGCGTTCATACTGAATTAATTATGTTCTCATGATTCTGCGGTTACATTTTCGGATACTATAAATTTTCACTCCGCCGATGGTTTTATGAATTTGTAGTGAAGTAAACTCGTACAATTTTTCTTCTTGAGCGAATGCAGATGAATGACTTTCCTAGAAAATGATTCTCTCAGAAAATGATTCACTCCAGGTAAAACTGACCGAGTAATCATGAGCTGCATGCTACTCACGTCGTCACAGGAAGTGGTTGCATCGTACGTGTTGTTGGAACTATATAGGATCGTTAACGACCACCAGCTTAATACGTGCACCCATAATTTAACTTTATTATTTACCATACTGCTTAACGTCACAAAAGATGTTTGGACGACATCAACGACTTATGTACATTCAGTTGTATTACCCGATGTATTCCAATCATGCATTACGTCTGGAAATTATTTTTTGCTTGTGTTTTAGTTGTGTTTACCAGTTCTATTGAAAAAAAATTAATCAATTATTTTGGATTTGATTTTTACTAAGTACAAATAGAATCTAATCCGGAAACATATGGGGAAATTCAAGTTTGTGACGTGAGTGAACACAGTTAGGGCAAGTAGAAGTGTGAATTAATACGGAAAAACTAACTTAATTTTCAAATTCTGCCAGCCATAAAGCCATCAATACCGAACGGATTTCATTCAAATGTTAAAAATAAGTAGATCAATATTGTCAATAATTTGTGGACGGATTTATTTCTGATTTTTACATCAATTACTTTTTTTATTGCCACAAAATACTGAAACTTGACCTGAATAGGACCCAACCTGCGAGGTGAACGGGAAGTTAGGTTTTCCGTATTAATAAAAAAGTAAGTGATCTGAAATAAATAAAGTAAAAATCTGAAATAAATCCGTCCACAAATTATTGATAATATTTTTAAAATTTGAATAAAATCCGTTCGGTATTAATGGATTTATGGCTGGCAGAGGGCATGTATATCAGTATGTGTGGAACATGAAGGTGAGCAAATGGGCACGTAGATGTCGGGCAGTGGTGCGTAAGTGTGGTATGCATGAAACATGGGTGGGCCAAAGGACGAATGGGTGGTGACAGTACGGGGTGCGATTGGGATAGAGTGGGATGAAATAGAGTGGAAAAGAGAAATAAATAAGCGAGTGAAAGACTATGGGCTGAAAGTGTGGAAGCAAGGAATTTAGGGAAAGGACACTCTAAGATGGTATCAGATGAAAGCGATGCCAAAATATGAATGTATGTATGATGGTAGGAGAGGAGGGGACCTTCTGTTTTGTGTTAGGGCAGGCGCGCTAGGTGTGAATGGACGTACATGCGGGTGGAATGAGAGGAGGGAAGATAAATGTTTTATGTGGGATGGGGATGAGAAGGAAACTGTGGAACACTTGTTGATGGAATGTGGGGCGTTTGAGAGAGAGCGTCAGTCTATGATTGAGGTGATTCTGAATGAGAGAGGTGAGATTAACGAAATGGGGCATGAGAGAACAAGCAAAGAGTGGATGGTAATAATTACGGGTCTGTCTGAGGGAGCAACTGCGGCTGTTTGAGAGTGTGAAGAGATATTTGGAAAATGTGTGGAAGATGAGGGAGAGGAGGAGGACGATAAGAGTGGGGTCTTGAGGAATGGAGGGTTGAGAGAGGGGAGGGTGGGAAGACATGAGACCGTGCCGAATTGTTTTAGTACGTTGTTTTATTTATTTAGGTTGTTGCAAATGAAACGAAACGAAATCGTTAAGCTTTTTTTTTTCTCAGGACTGCTGTGAATACGGTTTAATTGAACTTTTTTGTTATGATACGAGTGTGAAATTTTAATTTTTTGATGCAAGTAAAAGTTTTTAGTCAGCGTGTATGACCGATATAAAGGTCGTGACCGGAGGTCAATACGCATTTCAATTACAATTACAATTAGAGTTGATGAATCTGTTAATAGTTATATGAAAGTATGATATGCTGTATATTAGTAGCTATTGTATATAAAACAAACAGATAATTAGCCAAATTGCGAAGAGCCGACTCAATATATAAAATCCGAAAGTCAATAGGTCAAATCTCCTTTTTAAAAAAAGAACTTGATGAAAAATAACTTAATTTATATTTCGTACGTGTATATATTCGAAATATGTTTTTGGAGTTTTGTAACAACAACAGAAGAATTTTTCGTTCTTTTAGATTTTTAACAATTGAATTCATGATTTGATTGTATTTCACATTATAATCAATTCACCCATGTTTCACATTATTATCAATTCCGGCTGGAACCGTTTTGCGGACGGAGTTGAAATGTGCAGAACTAAAAAAAAAAAAAAATGTGCAGAACCAGAAGTAATACGTCTGTAGTGGAGAAAGTCAGTTGCGTTCATT